AAAAATGTCCATCATTTTCATATCATTTATTATAGATTTAGCGTGTTCACGCTTATTTTTAGAGCTAATGATCCTGCACACATGTTTTGTAAGCTATAATTTTTTTTAAGTTTTGATGGTTTGCCCATGATATATTTGCATAACTGATGAAGTAATCAATTAATACAAAATATAATAGTTTGAGACTTTGTTTGTTGATATACGAACAAACTCGATGCATCATACCAATTAAATTAGTGACCTTGGATTAAATATATCTTATTTGAGGAATTCAGGATAAATTATCATCAACAAAATTTCCTAAGAATTTTATACTAACTTGTTTTTTAACTAATTTATCATTTGAAATGATAAAGGTCAGGCAACTTTAGAGGAAGATTTTCTTCTTGTGTTTTTTTATGGATTAATATGTAGTTTTTTTTATGGAATATTATGTAATTTGTTTTCTCTGGGTTAAACGAGAGTTTATTAGCCCTAAACCAATTATTTACTTCATTTAGTTCAGTATTCATGTTGACATATAATTTCTTAATATCATTTTTAGTAAGAAATAGATTTGTATCATCGCAAAAAATGACTGAATTTAGTTTAAAAGACGCATCAAAAAAATCATTTATATAAGTTAAAAACATCAGGAAACCAAGGATAGCTCCTTGGGTAAAACATTTCATACTCCAGATTGTGTATTAAATACATATTGTTTTCTATTGGTAAGATAGCTTTTAATCCAATTGTGAGTTTTATTACTATTTATAATGTTATTTTATACTAATAGTCTAGGAGACCCAGAAAATTTTATAAATCCTCATTTATAACCTCTGTTCATATAATGCCAAAATGATATTATTTATTTACTTATATCATATTAAGGTTAATTCCTAATAAATATACCGGGCTGTGTAGATCGGTTTTAATTTTGAGCATTAATCATTTTACCATCAATTATAGTGAGATAAATTTTATAATAAATTTTATAATTGCATACTTAGTCATCTTTCAAAATAATAATCGAGATTTTTGCTTTGCTAACTTGTTTCAGTATTTTCTTTCACGAGTCCTAATGCATTTATTATGTTCCTCATGCATTTATTTTATTAGTTTATTATTGTTTAATTAAAAAACTTTTTGTTATATTGTCATGCAGAAATTATACATGGTTTATTGAATATATAGAACTTTTTTAAACAAAATTGTAAAATATATTTATTATTATATTTTGCTTAATATATATTTTTTTCAATCGGATATTTGAGACAGTTGCCGTTTTGACGTATAATCTAGTAAAATATTTCCACGTGACGCAGCTTTCACCTTATGCTTTACTTATTTTATTTAAAACAACTGATATTTTTGCTATTAAACAACGCGTTGAACGTCCGTCTATGCATACTTCTTGATTGTATTAATAATTTTGCATTACTATCACTGCAAAAGTCTAACGTTGTTACCACGTGTCTCAAAAAATTAAGGTTTTCAGCTGAAGTAAAAAACTGAAGTGATGCTTTGATTAACCCAGTGGGCACAGACGTAAAAAAGGCGTTTTAAAAAATAGTGACAATAATATACCCTTCGCGTCATCCACTGTAAAAAGAAAAGAAACGTATAAAATTAAAAATTCTATAAGTTCAAACATCAAACAGACAATATTTAATTTAGTGGTTTGCAACAATGCAAAAAATTCAAACGCAAATTTTAGAACAACATGATAAAAACGTTTCGATCTCGTTTTTTTCCAGTAAATAAAAGAAATTAAGTTTGACACAAAAAAAATTAACAATTATTCCTCAAGGGAGAAAAACGTTTTGTGCATTTGCCTCCCGCCCCCCTCCCCCTAATAATTTTCCAAATAATTTTGAAGTTAGTTTTTAGAGAAAAGCAAACGATTACAAATTAAGATATAAAAGAAAAAAAGAATAGAAAAGACCTAGTTTGTTATCCGTATTTTTGGCTTAAGTTCCTTTGGCGGATAAAGACTTTTCGAGGCCCGGAGACTATTTATTTGTAGAATAAAATTACTAAAAAAAAAAAAAGGTCGTTAAAACTATTTCGGGGTCCCTTAATCCAGCACCGTCCCTCCCCCCACCCCCCTAATTTTTGTTCCTACGGGCCTGTAACCTACTTTAAAACTAAAAAAAAGTTGTAAATCTGATAATGTTGTTAGTTAAAATGAGTGTATGAGTATAAATTGTTAATAAATATATTGTTTTTAAACTTTGAAGCTTGATTTCTCAATTGTATTTTTTTGTCTGACTGTGAACAGCAATTCATTCATATCTTTTTAACCAGATATATTTTTTTTTAATTATCTTCGCTTCCAACAAGGCTGCAAGCAACCACTAATTAGTGTTGGAAGTTACTGGAAGAGAAAAGATGAAGATTGTAGAGCAAGATAACGATTGACAGACGACTTAAAAGATTGCAAATTATATGAATCAGGAAAGCAAGATGAAGGAAGCGAATTCCAAAGAACTGATGTTCGAGGAAAAAAACTAGACGAATAAGAGTTTTTGGAGTACTTAGGAACAGTAACAAAAAAAGGATGAGACTTAATTGAATGACGAGTTGTACGAGAATGAATTTTAGTAGATGGCACAAGAGACGCTAGCTCTTTAGAGCAGTGCCCATTATAGTATTTGTAGAAAAGATAAAGAGAAGCAACATTACGACGATATGACAGAGGTTGAAGGTTGGCTGCAAGAGCAGGTCCAACTATGGTTTCAATGCAATCAACTTCAAATACTATGTTTATATGCAATTAACTTCAAATTTTCAGGGTTGTTTCTTTATAGATAGAACTGCAATACCTTACTAGAACTAACCTTAAACTTGTTTCCATTTGAATATATATTTATATTTTACCAAAGGTTTTTGCATCAAAAATATACTTTAAAATTAAAAGTGCTTTATTACACTATAATCCATCAGTGTGGTAAGTTTTAGCTTGAAATGTCATAAAAAAGCTGAGAAAATGTAGTTTTCTTTTTTATTGATTTTTCTGCATTCAATGCTGAATCAGCATAAAAAAAGATGAAAATATTTTTATTTCAGCATTTTAAATTAAATTAAGCATTATTAGTCTTCCTACTAATTTTGGAATGTAGAAAAATTTAGAAATCAAAAAATATTTTTTTTTTTACCATATAACCACCTTAAAAACCGTTTCGCGCTTCAGCAATTCTGTTTATTATTTTAATTTCTTTATTTGAGATGCAGCTAATTAAATATTTAGTTAATTATTAGAAAAAAAAATTTCGAATTTCGAATTTTCGAATTGAACTCTAGTCCAAAAAAGTAATTTGAATGTAGCAATTCTGAAAAATCCTTTTTTTTTTCTTTCTTTTTTTTTTTTTTTTCGCTTTCATGTTTTGCCGTATAAATATATAAATAATATTATTATTTCAATATAAATATAGATGTCCGGACAAAAAGCAGACCATTTGTCTTATTGCAAAGCCCCGAAACTTAATTCCGTAAATACCATATTTGTAGAAAAAAAGTAAATATATAAAAATAAATTTGTACAAATTATAAACTGCAATAAAATTTACTCGTTAAAACCTTTACTTTGAAAAAATAAAAATAAAAAGTTTCAAAATAGAAAAAAATTAAAATTAAAATGTCGGTTAAACTCTTTTAAAATAAAAATACAAAAAGATGCTATTTAACTAAGATTAAATACTAATTAAAACTATTAGTCAAAAGCCAAATCGACAAAGACCTAAATCTCTCTCTCTATATAAAAAAAATATTTATATTTAAGCATGATTCAACCAAAGCGACACTAGGTTGAGAGAGATAAAATTTAAAATAAAATGATAAAGCTTATATGTATCAGCTAGATATCATCAGAAGAATCACCCGCTCTGTCACTAGAAGCATACTTTTGGTCCTCTAATAGATATTAAAAACTCAGCTACGGCAAAAAAAAAAACATTTGGGCTAAATGAGCATAAAAATTATGTGATGAACATAAAAATTAAAGGATGATAAATGTTTATTTGGTAGACATTGAGTATATTCAGCTTTATAAATAGTTCTTTGGAGTGTATAAAACGCCCGACTTTAGATAATATTCTAACAGCATGTTTTTGTTTATTAAAGACTTTTTTTAATTTTGTTTTGATTTGTGCTTTCAGATAACAATGAAAAAGAAATATAGCAAGTTAGATTTAACAAAGGCTTCCCTTTATAAAGTAGGCCAATATTTCTTGACATTTTACCTTTAAATAGAGTGCACAATGTAGTGAATGCTTGTTCACCCTAAATCTGTCGATTAATTTACCATGCCTCTAACCTAGTTTCCACTTTGTTCCCCATTTTACCTGTTAAAAGTTTTTGCATTTTGGAATTCTGCAGTTTACTAATGACAACTTGTCTAACACTTGAGCACTTTTTTGGAGATAAGCGTATGATATTCCTTCTGGGAAATCATCTCCACCATACAATTAAAAATCATACATTAAAAAGTTACCACTCGCAAGTTTTGTCTGCTTTTAAAGAACTAGAATTAAGAGCTTTACACAAACTTTTTGAGTTTTACACAAAGTTTTTGAGTTTCACAGAAACTTTCAGAATTAATAAAAATACAACGCACAAACTTTTTTTCAAAAAACATTAATCTCTTCCCAGACTTCAAATATTGAATTTTTCTTTAATTTGAATTTATTGACGCCATATCGCATCCATGGAAAACAAAGTGTTAATCTAGTTCAGCGTTATTTATAGACGATCCCACAAAAATTTTACAAAAAAGAGTTTTTATTTGATTTCAAATTGATATATGAATTCGACCTAAATATGTGCTATGAGAAAAGTGTTCACACAACTCTTAATTTAATTAAATAGTTTTTAGTATTTTACAAGATTATAAATTATAAATTTATAAAAACTAGTAACATTTTTAAACATTTTTTTTGAATAATAGTTTACTAACTAAATATCAATCATTTAATTCATCATTTATGTAAGGAAAAATTTGTGTAACATTAAGACACAAGTTGTTCATAATTATCATAATTAGTATTAAACAATAAACCATTAAACTTCATTAATGACAACAACAAAAAAAAACATAAAATATAGTAACAATTTATTACAAACTATCGTTTAATTCAGAAAATACTAAAATGAAGTTTACATAAAAAATAGTTCAAGGTAAAAATTGGAATCCATTCAATCTTGGCAAGATTTGCATATCCCTAACATCGTCGTTTTGCAAAATCCAACAAAGAAATCTTTCAGTACCCATTCCCCATCCACTTGTTAGAAGAGGTTTAATTCTTCTCATATTTAAGTACCAGTTATAATCTTCTTTCTCGATCCTATGATGTGCTAAAGCTTCTTCAGCTTGTATACATGTTTCGTGTCTTTCGCCTAAACCCAAGGTTTCGCCTAAGCCTATTAAAAGATCAGCCGCTTTAGCTTTCGTTTTCTCCGCATTAGAATATCCTTGATAAAATGGCACTCCTAAGTGATCCATATGAGTAAGCCAAACAGGACCTTTGAATTTTTGAATAAGAAATTGTTCACCTTTTCTTGTTAGTTTTCTACCAAATTCTGGTCTGCCATTTACAACTAACTCATAGAAATCATGAAAATCTTTCATAATGTCTATTGCATCATCAAGTTCGATTCTGGGAAACTTTCCCTCTTTTTCAAAAGTCACAAGTATTGTGTTAATATGGGAAATACTACCAGCCGTTCTTTGAATAATAGAAGAGTGTTTTTTACATATTTTTTTTGTTAAATTTATTACATACTTTTCAGCAATACTAATGGCTGCATCCATATCTCCTAATATTTCACATTCCACATGATAAAATTGATTTAAATGTGTTGAATCTGGTGTTTCACCACGAAAGCTTGGAGATATATAATATGTTCCGGCAAGATTTTTCTTTAATCTCAGTGAATATTCTAAGACAAATTGCATAGAATCTGCTATAAAAACATTTTCACCAGATATTTTTACTTGAACAGGCTCGGAATCAGAACCAAGTCCCATTGGCGATGAAATTGTTTGAGTTGTTATTGGAGTAAGCACGTAGTAATACTTCAAGTTATTGAAAAAGTTCACAGTTGAATGGTAAAGAGTGTTTTGAATATCAAATATTGCTGAGTACCATTCATGAGTTATCGCAGTTTCTGAGTGTAAAATCGGTGATTGCCATGATTTAGGAGGTATTATATCTAGAGATTCTATATTGACTTTTGAACTAACAGCTTCTGAACTCTTCTTATCCAAAATTTCAACACGGGAGTTTAGCCCGTCATATAATCCAATAAACATCGATTCTGAACAATTCTCAACGTGAAAAGAACCATCTGAGCTTAAAGCTATTACTCCACCAAAATTTGATCCAAGTTCTTTATTAAGTACTTTCTCACATGAATCCCTAAGACTTTTGTTAATTTTGTAACAACTCGCAATTTTGGATGCAATAGAATTTCGGATAAATACTTCCCCGTTTCCGGAACATGCTACTGCAACATGTTCATCTGAATAAACTCCTGCGCCAACAATAGCTGTATCACTGATTCTTCCTCTCATCTTTTTCATTGTTCCACCAGTTGAAGAGGCTGCAGCAATATTACCATAAATATCAAGCGCTAATGCCCCTACCGTTTGTTTATGGTCATATGATTTAAAAGTGTTATTACTCATTTCTCTACGACGAAAACTAGTATCAAAATAAGTGTTTTCAACTGTTGGGAGATTAAATTCTTTTGCTATATCTTCGACTTTTTTTCCAACAACAAATGAATGAGGCGTTTTTTCCATAACAATTCTTGCTGCTTTTATAGGGTTTTTTATAGTTGTAAGACATGCTACCGAACCACAAATTTTATTTTTACCATCAACAATTGAAGCTTCTAATTCATGTTCGTTCTTTTCATTATATATCGAACCTTTGCCTGCATTAAACAAAAAACAATTTTCCAAAGAAGTAACTATTTTTTCTACAGCATCTACGGCACTTTCACCAGATTTTAGAGAGCAAATCCCAACAGAAAGAGCTGCTTTTAGGGAAAATAAAACTACTTCTTCAATTTCTTTACCCAAATTCATATTGGCTCCAGCTCCACCATGAAGTAATATTGAAAAAGGTAATTTTTCGTTCTGTTTTTCACAATTTTTTAGAGTCTCTAGTGCATTCATTTGAATAGCTATTGCAGTTTTGGTAGCAACAGTTTGAATATCGAACATTGCTTTTAAAAAGTTATTTTTTAGGTCTTTTATTTTTTCTTTAAATATGCCATTAACATTCATAATAACTCGAACTTTGTTTTCTGAACCAAAATAACTTACATGCAATTGATTCGTAGCGTACAAATTTGAAATAGCAAAGTCAATTTCTTTTGCTGATTCATAACCTGTTAGATAAATAGACGGAGAACCAAATATTTCCATAAGTTTTTTTAATAAATTTCCATCATTTGAAAGCCAGTTTCGAAGTTGCCCAATGTGAGGACCAATTGCATAGCCCATTTTTGATGATTTTATTTTATTTTTATGCTCTTTGACTGCTTCAACGAAAGTATTAATTATTTCATAACTTGATTGATTAGAACTCAATTCATCTAGAAATTTCACTGACTTTTCTGTGATCGTGTAGGTTGGATCCGATCGGCCGTTGTTGAAATGTCTTACGTGTGTTGGAGTAACTAACAAAAACTTTAAAGTTCCGAATGTTTGTTTAATTGCCAATTGCAAACTAAAGTTAATCCAAGCTTCATACAATCTTTGTTCTTTTAATATTGCGAACATATCTTCATATCCAAAAAAGTCAAAATATTCAATATTAGTACTGACGCAAAGACTATTTTCAAATGTTATATCATTAAGATTAAAAGAAATAGGGTTTAAGTTAAACTTAATTTCATCGCCACTTTTTTTTATTGTTATTTTTCCGCCACAATTTTCACCCATATAATAAAGAGACTGACAAATAACATACATTAAATAACCATCGACAACGGTATGCTCTAGCAATAGACCAGCGACGCAGTTTTTATAGACAATTATATTAACTATTTGATCATAATAACGCATGTTGCCATGTAACGCATCTCCAAACTTTACGTGATCAATCGCTTCATGATATTCTGAAGGACAATCTTTATCTTCAATGATAATTGTCGCAATAGAACTTTCCATCAACTTTAACGATTCCTTATTTTTCTCTAAAAGATTTTCACGAATTTCATTCCACTTATCGCGTTTGAGTGAAGTAAACTTGCATATTGATGGAGTTATTTTGCCATCATAGTTTGTTATGGCTTTAATTTGGGCATAAATTTCAGAAAAGTTTAATGTTTCACCGTTGGAAGACAAAATATAAACAACAAAAGCACAACCTTTAAAAAGAACAAGAACGTGCTTGCTTTTTTCGTCTCCATAAATTGTATCTTTTGTTTTTCCAGGAATTCGACAACTGAACATATTTGATTGCTGTGTTTTCTCTAAATTTGAACAACTGAATTTAGTATTGTCGTATTTTGTTAGAACGGAATCATCTGATTTCAACATTCCAATACTCATCGCAAGACAAGATACATAATAAGTTTGATCATTATGATTCTGACTTTGTTTCAATAAAAATGGTACTGATGTTGAACTTGGTATCGACTCGCGAAGAGATAGTAGTTGATTTAAAAATTCTTCAGTTGCCCAGTTCTCCTTTTCTTTTACTTTTTCAATAAAGTTAGAATGAAGTGTAGATAGGTGATCCAAATTTTTATCCCATTCGCTCAAAAATTGTTCAAATTGCGTTGACTCTAACGTCAATTTAAGAACTTGTTTAATTTCGCTAGCTGTTTGATTCATTTGAGGCATTGGATAGTTTGATATAGAAACCATATTGATAAAAATAAGTTTATTGTTAACAAGTTTTTTACGATCAAAACTATAATCAAAGATAAAGTCAGTCAACAGTAAAATGCTACACCTATATTAAACAAAATAATTTTAAATTAGTCTTATTAGTTTGAATATTTAAGTATTTTAAAGAATGACGCGTAAGTCTTATATAATGAGACTAAAGCATCATATAGGCTCATACTCATAAATTCTCGTATAACGTCATTAAAGCAACTTGCTGCATGACGTAAAAAACTACAATGCAAATAAAGAAAAGTTTGTTTTTCATAATTACTTAATAAAAAGATTATAAAGAATGTAAGGACGATATTTTTGATGAAAGTTAGTTGATAAACGTAATTGTCCACTTATTCAATCTTCGGAAATACGCAGAGAAAAAAAAAAAATCGTAAAATGATGTAACTGTATTGTTATGGTTATTTTTGTATAATTACAATAATTTTTAAATGATTTTAAAGTTTTTTAAGTTTTCAACAATAATCAAAGATTACTTTTCTTTGCGCTAATGATGGCGCAAAGAAGTAACAGGGTTGCTTAATTGTTAATAACAAAAATAGAATTATCGAAGTTCAATGTGTAACATCAACCATTAAAATTTTGGTTTAACCTAATCTTTCAAAGATTTTAACTAAAAACAAAATTTTATAAATAAATAAAGAAAAAACAACCAACATGCTTTCGGTGATGGAGTTATTTCTCTCTTAAACTCCTTCACGCCTTGTTATACACCCAAATTTTATTTGTCTCATTCATCCAAATTTTATTTGTCTCATTCATCCAAATTTTATTTGTCTCATTCAAACAAATTTTATTTGTAGTGGTGATATTGTCATTATTGTCACATTTATCCAAGTGTTATGCAGTAGTGGTGTAGTAGTAGAGTTTGATCTTCACCACGTCCCTGGTAGTACTGCTCTCAATTTGATTCTTCGCACAGCGACCTTGTTTTTCAAGGTTTGTGTTTTGGAGTTATAGAGTTGAGAGAGAGATGTAACCACAACTTAAGTAGCCATCTTGAGTGTAGTGGCTAATAGCCTTGGGGAGTTGAATTTAAATTTAAAAAAATGTGTTCTTGGAGAACATATTTTTTCTCACTTCAATACTCTATAAACTATTTAACAAGTGATTTACTGAATTTTGTTTTTCTTTCTGCATCTGAGGTTGCAAGTTGTAAAAATTCTGGAGTTTGTCACGTTCTAACTACCGTTTTATTAGTTTTTGAACCTGCATTTAACCAACTTTTTATATCTTAACTTGAGCCAAACTACTTATTCTCTGATTATAATCAGAGAATAAGTTAAATACTCTCTTAATCCTGACTTGTTAATTTAAAGACATATGTTAAGTACTCTCTTAATCTAACCTGACTTGTTAATTTAAAGAATCGCTAAAAAAACCTTAGAGATACATTTACTTAATGCCTTATGTTTATGTCTTCAATTGTTTTACTTCGCTTAAGTTGAACATTCATTTAGTTGAATCGTTTTCCATGGCCCCTTGGAGGTTTGAAATTTACTGTATTTGCAGATATAAAATTACTAAGATTCTGACAAAGCTCGTTAAAATATCTTAATCATTTAAACTTTAACTTTAAAATAATGCATATCTTTTTTTTAAACTTGTACAAAAAACACGCACAAAATGCATAAACATACCTAGCAGTTTCTTTCTTTTAATTTTTTTTTTTTTTTTTTTACCTAAAATTAATGTAATTATTAGATGTTCAAAAGAAATATATTATAATAAACAAAGGGGGCATGTAAATTTGCAGCTAAAAATTTTGTCATAAATTAACATTTTGTAATTTTGTATTTAACAAATCGTAATTTTGTTATTGTTATAAACAATTGTATATATTTTATACTATTTTACAAACTATTATTTTAGTATTATTTTACTAATATTGTAAATTATTTGTAATTGTAAGAAATATGTAATTGTTTTTGGCCTTAACAAGAAAACGTGATTTCAAATTTGAAATGTTACTATTTTACAAAGTAACAAATCTATTTTACAAATCATTAATAAAAACTATTTTAAAATATAATTAGCGCAAGATTTACTAACTTTCTTTGTACCGTCCTCTGTGCGTTATATCCCCTTGGAGTCATTTTGAAAAGTTTCATACCTTAATGTATGAAGAAGTTTATGGAACGTTTTATTAAATCTGTTAAGACGCCGTTCAAACAATACATAAAACCTTTATTGCTTTTTTTAAGGCCCTTTGCCTTTCTAATATGTGACGTGCATAATTTTTTTATTTCTAGACATTTTCTTTCTTGATATTTTCATTATTATCAAGTTTTAATTGAGATTATTATCGTCAGAGACGTATTTATATTTTTGGCACCCTGGGACCTTTAAGCGCCCTTTTTTTAAGAAAAACTTTCAACTTTGATATGGGGCGATTATTAAAAAACAAAAACATCTTCAATGCAAAAATATATTTAGTTATATTAATCATTAAAAATTAAAAAAAATTATAAGTTTCTACGTGAGTTTAGTTTGCAAATGTAACTATAAAGTTGCAAATGTAACATTAAAGTTTACATCTATGGTAAGTGCAGATTCAATAGATAGAATTGTTAAACTATGAGGACGATTACCAACCTCATTCCCAACCTCAAATAAGATTTAACTCTTTCCTTAATGCTATATCTACGTAAGGAAACAGTTCTTGAAGTTTATCAGTTCTGATCATTTTACAAATATCTATTATAGTTTTAGGTCTTTTGTTTTCAGTTTAACTCATTAAATATCTTCTGAATTGTATACATTTGTTCCAAATAAAGATGAAAAATAAAGATGAAAAATTTTTATATATATTTTGAAGTATTTCTGCATTTTTGTAAACTTCAGATGGTTGATGGTTATAGCAGATAGCAGATGGTTGTAAATTTATTATTTGAAATAAAAAAAATTTTAATTGCTTCATCCCAGCACTATTTCCTTTTTTCTAGTTAAGAATATAGTTTATCAATAATAGCATAATATGTGTTAATCCTTAAAGAGTCTCGAATTTAAAAATTCTTTTCTTTTTTCATCTGCAGCTAATTTTCTTTTTCTTTTACGTATTTTTCAATATGTTTTGTGTCCCGATTAATTAAATGCATCCTCTTCATAAATATCAAACTCCTTAGATCTAATACATATAGAACTAACGATTCGTATAAAATTATAACTGTTTTTAAATCAATCTTAACTGACTGCAATTGTTGGTTAGTTTTGTTAAACCTTTCTATAATATGGCAATTATAGTTGTATCTAGACTGTCTAATTTTAAATATTGTCTATTAGTTTCTGATATTGTGATTGACTTTTCTGGTTTATTATCTTTGATAAAAGATTGTGAGTTAATAATTTCATTCCAATTTTTGTTTAAACTAACACTTGCATCAGATTTTGCTTACCATCAAGTATCTGATAGATTTTTCAAGTGATACATTTTCTGTTTTAATTAAATTATTCTGAAGCATTTTCCTATGTAGAAGCATTAATAGATATTTTGAGGCAGAGTAAAAAATTCAGAAGGATTTCTACAACGGTCCACAGCGTATTCACCAACAAGATTTAAAGAGTGTGCCAAGCATTGTACAAATGTAGCTAAAGGATTAACTTCTTTAATACTAGCTTGAAGTCCTGTATATCTACCAAACATGTTAGACGCATTGTCGTATCTTTGACGACAACATTTGTTTATATCTAATCCATGCGATTCTAAAACTAAAAATATAGCATCTGCTAATTCTTCATATTTATGACTAGAGTTGAGTAAAAACCTAAAAATCTTTTTACCGGACAGCCATACTTTTAAACATACCGAAAAATAAATACAATAGATTTACATGGCTAATGTCAGGAGTAGAATCAATATTGATGAAAAAATATTTAGCTTCCTTTATTTCTTTAACCGTTTGTCGTATATCATTATCTGCTATTATACCTATGAACTGATCATTTATATTAAAAGATTTGTACGATGTTGAACTTTTTCCTAAAAACTTCTTAATATGCTGTGCTAAAAAAGAATCAAACTGATCAACATGACTTTTTTTATCAAATAAACGTTTTCGCATGAATAATTCGCGCATAACTATGTATAATTTGCAAGTGGACTTAGATCGCTTTTTGAGTGATACTTTCTTCTGCCAACCATACAAACAAAATACATTTATAATGTTTATAAAAATGAATTTCCAATTTTTACATTCGCATTTAAAAAAAAATAAGCACGCGTATACTTGTAGACAGAAAAAACAAACAATTAGAAACTTTGCCGCAAAAAACTTGGAGATATTTAGTAAGTTTTTTGGTCTGTGATTTGCGGACATGATAATAATATAAAAATTTTCGTCATAACAATATCAAATAACTATTTTACGATTTTCTAAGATTTTACCATTTTGACGGCTGGCGCCCTATTAAAACTTGGCGCCCGGGGCGAAAGCCCCACCTGGCCCCACCCTAAATACGTCTCTTATTATCGTACTCGGTTATTATCAAGTTTTACCTAATGAGAGAAAAAGTATCCCAAGAAAAAGTAAGTGTAAACAAAAAACTAATTAATTTTAAATGAAAAAATTACCGATTTTGCATTTTAAGCTAAAACGTTGCGATATAAACTCAAAGTGAAAAATATATATTGCGTCATTTGAGTGCTAATCCTCCCCCTTGCGCATAAGATATTTGACAAAGTTCTACCCTCCCCTCATTTTACGTATTATTTAAATGGTTTTTACGAATTATTTGAATGATTTCAAAGTTTGCACTAATTTTTATTTTATGTTCTTTAAGAACTTTTTATGTGATATTTGACGATGTTCTCCAACGGCCCTCCCCTCATTTTACGTATTATTGGAACGGTGTTTACGTATTATTTGAATGATTGCAAAATCTGCACGAATTTTTATTTTGTGTTCTTTAAGAACTTTTCAAAAGTTTTTTATGAGTTTTTTGAATGTTTGTTATGAACTTTTTTGAATGTTTGTTAAGAATTTTTTTGAATGTTTGTTAAGAATTTTTTTGAATGTTTGTTAAGAATTTTTATAAATTTGAAGAAAAATTGAATCAAAAAAACGTTTTAAAAACAGCAGAGAAT